TACACCCTTACCTACAAAGGAGGCTGAAAAGTCAGGAATAGGACTGTCATGGTGAGTGCAGACCAAAAGGATGTATCACTGGGGCTAGGCACCTTGCCTCAACCCAAATCAGGCTCTGTTACTGAGGAAGAGTGGAAAATGGTCTGGGTAGGTAAATAAGGGGACTGGCAATAAATACAAAGCCTGCTGATTTTAGCTCTGAGACAGCTCTCAAGTCTGCCCCCTGCTTCCTGCTGGCCAAGGGCCTGCCCACACGAGTGCCAGCCTTCCGGCGACCTCAAATCTGAGCCGCATCCCTGCTTTGCATGCACGGGTTCCTAACACCTCCGTCTGACCAGTCTGACCAGCACCACGTGGGGAAGAGCATCCTCGCTTCCCTCCCTCTACTGCTGACCCCTCTGCTAGGCTTGACCCACACCTGCCCTGCCTGCCACTTGTCGAGTCCTTCATCACCCTTCAAGACGCTGCCTAAGTGTCCCCTTCACTGGGAAATATCCCTAAGCAGCCCTCCCCACGACAAAACAAATGATTCCTTCCTTTTGTGCTCATATGCCCTTGTAAGAAAATATATTGTGACTAATGCTTATTCTGCAGCATTCTAGAATTCTTTGCTCAGACATTCTTGTTAGTTTCAAAGCTGCATTCAAATACTGTAGTGACCTTCACAGCTGGCATAGTGCCTTGTTTCTTGGTATCTGTTCTCATCTTAGCACTAAAACAACCTTGATTTCTGAACAGGTCTGTGGCTACTTTGAATAAAGACCAAGTATTCCAACCTCCCTTGTGGTTAACTAAGGTTATACGATGTAACACCCAGAGCCACAGCAGCCTCGTTGAATCATGGGATGACATTAAAATGACATTATGAAAAAAAAAATGACATTATGTGTAGAAGCTGGACAAGGTAGAGCAAAAAATGGAAGTGTGTAGGTTCCTGGAATATTATGTATGGAATGAAGTCAGACACTATATTACATACACAATATACTGATTTGTTGAACACAGATTGAAAACAGTGGTCCTTAAGTTTTAGTAAGTTCTGAGCTACATTAAGCCAGGCAGTGTTTTTTGTTGTTTTTTTTTTTTTTTTGTCTTTTTTGAGACAGGGTTTCACTATGCAGTTCAGGTTGGCCCTACTTTGTAGACCAGGCTGGTCTCAAACTCTCAATGATCCTCCTGCCTCAGCCTCTGGAGTGCTGGGATTACAGGTGTGCGCCACCACGCCTGGCCAGGCAGTGTTTCTTAACTGTGTAACCACCAGGCTGGGCTTGCCCCACAAATCCCTGCAGTCTCAGTCCTGACCAGACTACCCAGGTGCACTTGCTACCCCAGACACCCTGCAGCTTGTGTCCCCTTGTCCTACCGGGAGCTTTGCCTGGGTCATGTACTAGGAACAGATTACTCCATCCTTGCAAATTGCAAAGAATCGCTTATCAGGAGAGGACAGGGTCAGGGTTCAGACGTTTTGCTCAGCCTCTGAAGACAGCGCTCGGGCCCCAAGGAAGGCTCTGTGTCTGGGGGGAATTGTGTCAGCTGTCTGTACGCAATGGCAAGAGTTGGGCCAACCAGTTGTCACGGGTGGAGGGGGACGGGGTGTCTGGTTCGAGCCCAGTGTTCTCTGTGCTGGGAAGAAGCAATTGGAAGGGTGAAAGCAATTGGAAGGGTGAAAATCTGGCGTTCTGAAGGCCTTCCCCAAGTCTGCCCGAGGAACATCAGCGACAACTGAGGGCTCTTGGCCCAGGGGCCTTGCATTCCCCCGGGAAGTCCAGGGAGCACTGGGGAGTGTCCCTGTGAGGCCAGGGCTTGAATCCTCACTTCCCTCAGTAACTGGGTCACATGACCTCTGCGCACACGGCTCTGCTGCGTGCTGCGGCGGGTTTATCCCTGCCAGAGAATGGAATGCTCACCTCCACCCTAAGCCTGTGCTTGCCGATGACACACTGGCACGGCAGAGTCCTTGCACCAAAGGAACAGGCAAACCAGTGCTCCCCTGGACCACAGAGGGGTTCACAGCACCAGCGCAGCAATGCACTCTTCTGATTTGTGCCATGAGGCTGACAGTACGTGCCTGACCCAGAGGACCGAGAGGCAGAACTCAAGGGATGCACCAGCAACGCCCTCCGTGTGTGAGCTGTCTGGCTCCTCTGGTCCTGAGCGCCCACTGTACAGTTGAGACTGTTCTTCGGGGAGGCAAGAGCTGGTGGCACTGGCACAGTGGCTTGCAATTTGGCATGCACAGCCTTTTAGACTCCTGGTATCACTCTTGCCCCAGGCAGGACACATCTGAATGGTCAAGACTGTCAACCTGCCCACAGTCAGGAGGCTGAGGCAGGAGGATTGCTATGAATTTGAGGCCTAGGCTACAAAGTGAGTTCAAGGTCAGCCTGAACTGCATAGTGGAACCCTGTCTCAAAAAAAAAAAGGAAAGAAAAAAAAAAGACTGTTAACCTGCTTTGAACTCCAGCTTATATAAGCAGGGGCCTGACTCAGAGGGCGAAGTTGCATTGGCACGGAAGGTCTCTTTCAAGGTGCCTTGGGTGCCTTGCCTGCACCCTCCTGGTGTGGATCCTACCTTTCCGACAAGAGCTGTGGCCCAGCTCACACTCTGAGCAGCAAGCTGCAGTCCGCATGGCTTAGTGCCTAGCACCGGACCCTCCACAGCAACGATGTGCTTCCATTGTGACCTCTCTCAAGTTGGGTGTGTGCACCTCCTGGAAAGAAACGCTGGTACTGAAGTTGTTTTCTTTTTAAGACAACACTGGGTCCCGTGGGCTGGCCTGGCCGCCGATCTTGGTTCTTTGTGAACATTTCCGGAAGTTAAGGGGCAGCACAGAGATCCAGGGCCTTTTGCAAACACCCAGCCAGACCCTCACCGAGGGCTCCCTGGTCCCCAAAGGCCGCACCGTCACACCTCAGTGCCGCCTGGCCTTGCTGGCTCTTCACGGCCACAGCGGCACAAGTGAGGGCTTCTCTGCCAGTCAGGCGCGTTTGCCTACCCTGACACCAAGTTCACCTCTAACTTGGTCTCTCTTGCATTGGACACAACGCACCCTCCCACCCCTGAGGTCCTCTGCTCCCTTCACTAAGGGCTCAGTGTCCTCACTTTTGCAGCCAGTGACCTCAGAAGCAGCGAAGCCCTCATTTCTTGCTTCCCGGGCGGGGGAGATAGTGTTCTGATCCAGGAGCTGAGGAGTAGCTGGAGGGCTAGCCCCACCGCGCAAAGTGAAGAGGCAGAGGCAGTGGGGGACTTGGGGTCTTTGTCAAGGTGAGACAGAGGAATCTGCTTTGTGGAAGGATGTTTTCCACAGTTGTTAGGAGCCTCAGAGAATCTGCAGAGAAACCTCTGTGGCCCACGTGGCTCATGTGTTTTCCGCGGGGTCTCTTCTGAGACCTTAGTCTGCCCTCTGGGCTTGTACCTGGTGCCCTGAGACGGGACTCGACAGGGAGGGTCACTGTGCTCAGGCTCGGGCTCAGGCTTTGGAGGTCCTAGAGCGTGGTGGTGGCGTTTGCCAGGGCTGTGCTGCTCTGCACGTGGTGGAAAAGCAGAAGGCCAAGTGCGCGGAGAGGACAGGACCAAGGGCCGCGTTCTTCAGGACAAACGAACTGCTCCTGTGGGCTGTTGAACTCTCTGCAAAGGCGAAGCTGCCACGGCTCACACCTGCACAGCCCCGGCCGCAGCCCCTGCACACCGGCAGGGAGATTTCCACGAGTTCTGGTGGGGACAAACCCTACCCAAGCCATAGCACAGGCTCTTGTTCATGCCATGTGGCCAAACGCCAGGAGGCTCCTGAAACTTTTTCTAAGCTGTCGGATCATGTGGCATCCAGCCTGCCTTGCATGGAACTCTGAGCCCTGGGATGGCTTACTTTCTCAGGGCCCCACCTTCAGGAAGCAAGAAGGTACCACCCCCAGGACAGCAGGGACAGCACAAGGGTTTGTGGGCCAGAGCACAGGGCCGGTGGATTTCTCTCTCCTTCCTTCGCTAGCACTCCATCTTTCTACACCAGTGATGTCCAAGGGCAAAGGGCCCTCCTTCATCTCTCCCTGAGCTGAGGGCAGAGGTCCTCCTCCCCTCCCCAGCTGCCTCTGGAGACTGGGGAGGTGGGGGAGGGCAAGGGAGGCGGCCAGAAAGTCAGGTTTGTGTGAGAAAATAATGCAAACGAACGGAGGTCCTGAACGTAGAAGTGGGAAAGCACTCTTATAAGTCAATTTACAAAGCCTTTTAAGCGATTTCAGAAAAGAAACACCGCAAAGTACCTTGCTTGCTAGTGCCAAGGCTGAAAGACGAGTGCTCGGGTGAAAGCGTCTCATCTTCTGACCTTGGGGCTTTCCCAGCATCAAAAACAAAACACTTAGCCCCAAGGAAGGTAAACAGTACTACAAACATGTGCTGATAAAAATACTCAAGCCTCTCATTCCTGGTCCCCTCCCGTCCCAGCTAACTGGAGCAGCTGCTGTCTTCTGGCCGTCCCACCGGCCGGAGCCTGCTGTGGGGTCACTGAACAGGGTGACATCACATTGGGTAGGAGAGGGACATGCGCACCCCTGGAGAAGGAAGGGGGGGTCCGCAGGGCTGAGATGAACCTGGCTTTGGAGCCTGGCTCAGTGATGGGCCATGAGGCCACGAGCAGGTTATCCGCCTTCTGGGGCTGCTTTCTCCGTGAAAAGGCAGCAAGTGTCTTTACCCTCCGCCGCTGCTGTGGGAACGGCAGGAAGGAGAATGGTACAGCATCTGTGAACTGCGCGGCATGGCCCACAGGGGCCGCCCATCTCTACAACGAAGCAGTGCCCTTGATACTCACCCACCAGCCTTGGAGGCCGAGGGACGCTCTCTCTAGGTCAAGCTCTGAGGACCCTGTGATGTGATCAGCCACACCCCCAGCCCTGGAGAGACTGAGCTGGAACCTGGGGTGGCAGGGAGAGGTGCTCATCAGACCCGAGAGGGGGCTGACTCCTCTTTCCTAGCAGAAACTATGCACCCTTAACGAGGCAGCAAGTCGGACAGGGTACAGACTGGACTGTATTCACATCCATGGAAACCTTTTACTTGGAAAAGTCATACACAATAGTAAAAAATGGGGGTCACGGCATCTGGGGTTGACTGAGACAGCAAGCAGTACTAAAAGGCACACATTAATTTAAAATTTCATCATAGGAAGTCAGGTGACCTTTTGTACCCAGTGTAGGAGGAAAAAGTCTTTGGGGTGGACTCCGAACAGTGGCGTTTAAGGTCATCTTGCCCCATGTATCCATTCCTTTGGGACGTTTCTGTGTAATTGCAGAAGCGCTCTCCTGAAAGCATTAGCCAACAGAAAGCCTGGTTCAAACCAGTCAATTCCAGGGAGAGCTTTCCTGGCAATGTCATTCCATCCTGACCCGCTAAGGGAGGGGAAGGGACTTGGCCAGCAATGGGACAGCAGGTGTGGCTCTTGTTGGCAACAAACAGGTGGCATGCAATAAGAGACGCACCATTTTAAGGAGTCCATTATGACCTTAAAGACCTGTCTAGGCTGGGCATGGTAGTGCATGCCTGTAATCCCAGCACTTGGGAGGCTGAGGCAGGAGGATTGAGAATTTGAGGTCAGCCTGGGCTACATAAGTGAGTTCAAGGCCAGCCTGGACTGCACAGTGAGACTCTGAAGACCTGTCTGGGTGCAGACTATAGAGCTCTGGGCTACAGAGCAATGACCAACACCAGTATGCCTAGCACAGGGTTCTGTCTGATAGGAACCAGATTTTCCATGCCTAAAATCATGTCTGAGCTTCGATCCAGGTCACAGAAATTCAGCTGGTTCCTGGGAGCTCCAGGAGCAGCTGTGTCTAAGCAGAGAATTCCGAGGGCAGCTTCCGGCTCGGGGCCGGGGCTCCCCCGGGGCTGAGGCTATGTGGCTCCCACACTTGCTAAGATTCTGCTTTTCACAGCTAAGGCTGGAGGGCGTCGGGGCCCTGGCCCGGCCCCTGTGGGGTACAATTGAAGAGAACTGGAAATGGAATTGGAGCTCTTGGCTTCACTTTTCAATGCAGGTTCTTGGGGCAGCAGAAGAATGTTTCATAAAACAAGCAATTTCCCTTTACTTTTAGTATTGCTTTTTACCTTATTCACACCCACTCTTCCCACTGTGAACAAACCAAAATGGAGAGTGATGCTTCAGGCAGGTGCATGCTCAAGATTTAAGGTGGATGACACAGAGGGAAGCGGAGGAGAAGGTCTGGCCCTCGCTTGTGTTTTAGAAAAGTCAAACCTCCCCCACCCTTTTTTTGTCTTTTTGAGGCAGGGTCTTGCTATGCGGTCCAGGCTGGCCTTGACTCACTTTGTAGCCCAGGCTGGTTTTGAACTTGCAATGATCCTCCTGCCTCAGCCTCCCGAGGGCTAGGATTATAAGCGTGCACCGTTACGCCCAGCGAAAACCCAAAAACCTTGAGGGACAAGGCCAGGAGGACATGGGTTCCCACGAGTCCTCCCTACCATGCAGACCATGAACATGGTGCTCTCTGCAGAGAGCTCTGCCTTGCTCCTTCACCAGCTGGATGAAGCCCTGACTGGACCCCTTGGCAATTGCCGGGAGGTGGTTTTCATAAACAAAGAACTGTGCCTGACTTCCCAAGCCCCAGCCTGAGCAGAAGCAGTGGAGATGTGGATCTGGGTTGAGGAGTGAGTGTCCTTGCACCCGCTGTCACTCGTGCCTTCAAGAAGGCCTTTAATGTGTCACCGGGCCGCCCAGGAGTAGAAGGTGGGCTCCGGGTGACAGCAATAACAGAAGAGCAGCAGCGACCAAGACCAGATGGTCACCTCGGCAGATGTCACCGTAAGCAAAGGGTGATGCTGAAGACCACTTCTCCGACCTCTGGTGCCAACTGGTACCAATAACCCCACCCCGCCCTCACCGCCTAGATCTCCCCGGAGAAGGTGTGGAGACGGGCGGCGCTGACATTTGCGTCGGCGAGGGAAGACCGGTTTCTCTTCAACCCGAGTTTGGGGCCGAGGCTGTGTACTTACTTTCCTGGTTTCTGTCTCCCGTCTTTAGCTGACTGAGCAATGAGGCAGCCTGCAGTGAACGCCCGGCGGAACTGCGGCCCCACACTGGGCCTTGGGGCAGCCCGACGGCCCCCTCTTCTCACCACCCACTGTCCAGAGGAGACAGCCGAGGCCGCTGCACGGTGCTGGCATGGGCGAGGTCAGGACAGAGATGCACTGGAATGAGGTGAGGATCTGGAGTCCTTTAGTCCCAGCACACACTGGCCAGGTCTACCCGCTCCACACACCCCATTTTCCCAGGGAGGACGAGGCCGGGCCCGCCCGCTTCGCCTCAGTCCTGACCACCAGTCAGTTTGTGAAACAGGTCCTCGTCGAGCGTTTCATTCTGGTCCTTGGAGCGGGTGGACAGGAAAATGTAGCCCCCGATGCACTCGTGCACCACCTTGCAGTCCGCGCTCAGGCAGGTGAACGCGATGGAGACGTTCTGGTCAAACTCGATGGCCACCTGCAAGAGGAGGGCACAGGAGGCTTACACTTGGACACAGAGGGGCGAGAAAGCAGCTGCTTGGCTGGTGCTGGCCCAGGGGGGGGCTGGAGGGGCTGGGAGAGGCCTATCCCGGACCACACAGAAAACCACCACGGCTTCCACCCAACACCGGCGAAACCAGTTCTTCGCTCTTTGCGCCCTCTTGTGGTGTGAGCTTTGACGCGCATCTGGTACAAGGGTGACTGGAAAACACGGTGAATTTTTAAATAAATTAAAAAAAAAGTATTACAGTGAAAGACACATTGTCAAGAGGATAAGACAGGTTTGTGTGAAGTTAGGGGGAAGTATTTGGAGTATACTGGGGTGGTTAATTCCAATGTGTCTTTTACTGTAATAAATTTTTAAAAATTTAAACATTCACCAGTTTTTTATGACACCTCATTGATCAAACAATTATGGCAGGGGCTGGGGGTTTAGCTCAGTGGCACAGCACCTGCCTGGCAAGCTCAAGGTCATGAGTTCAATTCCCAGTACTGGAACTGCCCCCCCCCCAAGAAAACAATTACGGCAATTCTGTCACATAAAAACACTACAGCTGGGCAGGGTGGCCCACACCTGTAATCTGCCTGTAATCTTAGCACTCAGGAGGCAGAGGCAGGAGAGTCACTGTGAGTTTGAGGCCAGCCTAAACTGCATAGTGAGACCCTGTCTCAAAAAGAAAAAAAACAAAACAAAACAAAACACTACAGTGCATCGTCATTCACTTTAGATACTGGATCTGGCGCTCTGTGACATCTAGCTCTTCCTCAAAGTCAAAACGACTTTTTTTTTTGGTACCAGGAATTGAACTCAGGACCTTGCCCTTGCCAGGCAGGTGCTTATGCCACTGAGGTATATCACTGGCCCCAAAATGACTTTTGTTTTTTTCTTTTTGTCTTTTTGAGACAGGGTCTCACTATGTAGTTCAGGCTGGCCTTGAGCTCACTTTGTAGCCCAGGCTGCTCTCGAACTTGCAAGGATCCTCCTGCCTCAGCCTCCTGAATGCTGGGATTATAGGAGTGCGCTACCACGCCCGGCCCCAAAATGACTTTTGAAAGAGAAACATTTTGATACCAAGGCAGTCACAATAGCACAACTAAAGACACTCATGAAAGAGGACCTTCAGAACTGCTTCAGAAAGTGGCAAGGACAATGAGATAAGTGTACTCTGAGGGGGCTTCATGGCATATGTCTTTTACTGTGATAATGAAATAGTCTCCACTTTTCAATCATATCTCATATTTTTTCTTTATCCATCTAGCTGTTTAAATGTAAGAACTTCCAAGTCCTCCCTTGGGGAGGGGCAGAGAGTTTTGCACACTCTTTAATGGAAGATAAAAAGCCTGCCCGAATTTTGCTTTAGCCACTGCCCCTTCTGAGGTGAAAGCCATAAACTCTAAGCAGGAAGTATCAGTGGTTCTCAATCCCATTGGAATCACCATGGAACTCTCAAAATGACTGCCCAGCCCCACTCCTGGAGACCTAGATTTATCTGAGCTTCGGTCTGGTCCAGGAGATCTTAAAATGCATCAAGGTTTTAAAGCTGCTGCATTATGGGACATATGACTTCCGACCTTTATTCTACACATGCGTGCTCAGATGCTGCTCTGGAGAGGAATCCAGAGTCCTTAAAAAAATCGCAAGCCAGGCATGATGGCATATGCTGTAATCCCAGCACTCTGGAAGGTTGAGGCAGGACTGCAAGTTTGAGCCCATCCTGGGTAACTCAGAGACTTAGTGAGACCTTGTTAAATGAATACAAGGGCCTGGAAGTGCAGTGCAGTGGCAGAGCACCGGCCCAGCATGTACAAGGTCCCAGGTCCCATCTCCAGCACTGCAGAAACAAAATCAAGCAAGACCCTGAGACCCAGAAACTTCCCCTACCTGCCGGATCTCCCAGTTGACATTCCACTGCTTCATATTGGTGAATCTCCACGTTGTGATTGGAATCCCAGTGGCTGCATCGATTCTGATCAACCTATTATATGAAACTCCCAGAATGTCATCTTTCTTGATTCCTTTAAATCTGAAAAAAATAATACTGATTCAGAGAAGCAACTGTTCATTCACGTAGAACTTCTTAAAGAGTAGTGCACAACATTTCTAGGTTATTTCAGAAGAAAGGACACGAGGCACCAACTTACAGTAGGAAGACTTTTTACTGCAGTAAAGAGAAAGACAGTATGAGTGAAACTGACTTTAGAGGAAAGTGAAATCAGGCAGAGCCACATCAATCCATTCAAAATTTGCACAGGTCAGTGGACCAGGCACCTGGCTAGGCACAGGGGCACATTCTCGGTTGCAGAGAATGAAGATTTCTAACTGAGGGGCAGGGGTGAGGATCATGAATAAATGAAATAAACACTCCAGATACCATGATGCAGGGGTGGGAGAGTGAAGGAGCAACTCATCAGGAGCCCACTCAGGTCCACCACACTTCACAGCTTATCAGACACAGGACTTGCTGTGTGTCTCTGGGTTCTCCGCAGGGGCCACGCCCACTGAGCAAGTACAGAAGCCCAGGCTTGGCGAGTTCAGTAGCAATGTTCAGGGCCACAGCACTAGCAGAGGCAAAGGATGAACTGGATGCCCAGGCTGATTGGCTCAAGTGTCCATGTTCTTGCCACTATTGGGAGCTGGCTTCAGAATTATAGGAAAGCTGGGTGGGGTGGTGCATGCCTGTAATTCCAGCACTCAGGAGGCTGAGACAGGAGGATCACCAGGAGTTCAAGGCCAGCTTGGGCTACATAGTGAATTCAAGGCCAGCCTGGAATACATAGGGAGACCCTATCTCAAAAAAACAACCAACCAAAAAAGCGTTACAGGTTAGTGTGCGCTATACATGTACAAGTATATGTACATGAGAGCGTTTGTGAGTGTCCAGCATAACTCTGCCCTCTCTCATTCTCACTGGGGTATATAAAGCAGGAAAAGTTGCTAGTTCGGGACAAACACTGAGGACAGAAGTTGACTGAGGTGCTTCAGTGAATAGAAAAATCTGAATGAATGCTCCCATTAGCAGAGGTTAGAGAAAATGACCTTTGGCAAAGAGGCAAGAAAACAATGCAAACTGTATTTTTTTTCCCGATACTGGGAATCGAACTCACGACCTCGCGCTTGCCAGGCAGGAGCTGTGCCGCTGAGCTAAATCCCCAGCCCCACAAACTGTATTTTTTTATAAGTCAATTTTAAAAAATACCAACCATCTTTCCTCTTCCTAAGTCATAAAGTGAGAAAGTGCCAGAGTCTCTTCCATCCTGCAGGATTAAGTATAAGTTTTGCTTAAGCACTACCTGTGTTTGCTGACTTAAAAAAAAAAAAATTCAATTTACAAGCACGCCAGTGGAGACATTTTGGGAAAGCATTCACTGTGCGTGGTAGGCAGAGCCGTGCTTGGTGGATGACCAGCGAGGACACGGGGGCTGCCCCTCACTAAGAGAGGAACTTGTATGAGTCACTGGCCTTCTTTTTTATATCTCAGTAGTCTCCTCTGTAAACACAGGAGGGCAGTGGACGGGCAGAAATCATCAGGGTGCGGTGGAGCCAATGGCAGCCTCCTGTGGCTGGGGGAATGACAGGGTTTGCTGGGGACACTGCAAAGCCACACCGTAGGATGCAGTGGGACACACACAACCTGACGTGAATGAAAGTCAGAGACTCTCTAATACTTCAAAATCAGAGGGCCAGGGATGTAGCTCAGTGGCACAAGCGCCTGCCTGAGAAGCGCAAGGTAGTTATACTAAAGGGATAAAATCTCCTTTACACATTTGAACACTTCTCCTCGCACACTTAGCCATTAGGAGGTGCTGGCACTGGAACAGCAGGATTGGAAGATTTCTATGAGCGGCCCACAGGGTTTGGGCCGTACGTGCAAGGCAGTCTTGTAAAGGAAGAAGAGTTTGCAGTCTCAGTGGAGAACAAAGTGGGCTTCCAGAAAGGCACCCCGCATGGAATGGAAGTGGGAGAGGCGAGGGGAGGGTGCAGTCACCTGACGAGGTAGTAGGTGAGGCCGAACTCCGGCAGAGACTGCCAGGCCTGAATGAAGCGCAGCTTGGCTTCAACAAGGGACATCTGGGCCACGTTCTGGTGGGCTTCCAGGATCCGGGCTGCCAGCTGCACAGAAACAGGAGACGTCAAACTCTCCTCAGTGTTTGTGATGCTCTGTGCCCACCCCGTCAGCCCCAGGTCCCCAGTGAGGGCAGTAAGCACAGCCCGACTGCAGTTCTCCAAAGGCGGCGCATTCTCCCATTCATTCGTTCTCTGTCTCCTCTCTTTTTCTAGAAAACATGAAAAATCACTGGGGAGGAGGAGGAGAAAGGTCAGCCAGGACACAGGCTTCATCTGCATCTTTCTCAGGTCCATGCAGTGCTCATGGACAGCGGTTCTACTGGAATAAAATCATCCGTCCAACGTTTAACCCATTTTTAGGGAAGCGTAATTTTAATTTGTAGGGATTAACTTATTTCTTCTTTTTGTTTGTTTGTTTTTTGAGACAGAGTCTCACTAAGTAGTTCACGCTGGACTTGTAGTTCACTACGTAGCCCAGGCTGGCCCCAAACTCACAGCGATCCTCCTGCTTTAGCTTCCTAAGTGCTGGGATTTCAGGCGTGCGCCACCACACCTGGCAAGTTTATTCATAGTTAAGCTCACTGTGGAGGACCACTTAGGTGACTCTCCTTGAAAGAGGGCAGTTGCCTCCATTTTGGCTGAGCCTGACCCTGTTTCCATGTACTGATACGTACATACAGAGCTGGCTAGGACTTTCCCTTATCCCTTCAATTGGCTTTAGGCAATGCATATCGGTCAGGTCGAGGTGCTGATGGTAGTCTTTGGAGATGGCAGGTGTGTTTCCCCGAGCCCCTGTTGCTCCCTCAATTGAGTCGGGATGTGTGAGCCAGGGCTCCATGCTGTCTGCTGGGACTGAGCCTTGGGAATAGAGGCTATGATTTCTTGGAGCTTCAAAGATTACACATCAGAGCTGAAGCACTGACCCCCAAACATTAGGTATTATCTTAATGGTGTTATGCAGATCACTTTTCTGCATTGCAGAGGTGATTTCAGGCCTCCTCCCTAGCCCAGCTCATGGCGCTCACCTGCTTCCCACGGTTCTCACAGTCACTCATCCTCAAGCCACTCCCTTCTTCATGAATGAACAAAACCTGGGTTCGGCCTTGGGTCGAGGCCTTTGTTCCGGACGACCATCACTGTGGCTGGACTTAGGACCCCTTGGCTCCCCATAACTACAAACATGCCTTAGTGTCTTTATTCTCGCCCTGCACTAGAAGTGGCAGATTGGAATTAACTCGCTAGAATTCCAACAACTTTTCTTGGGGTTACAAATACAAACTTCGTGGGCCGTGACGAGGACATACAGCTCATAATTAAGTTGGGACCATCAGCACACTCAGACACCAGAATGGTCACCTCTAATAATAGTCACTGCAGTTCTGTAATACCACCTAATACCCAACTCACTGTTAAACTTTCATGATAATGGCTTGAATATTCTTTTTTTTTTTTTGTTTTTTTTTCCAGTACCAGGAATCGAACTCACGACCTTGCGCTTGCCAGGCAGGCACTGTGCCACTGAGTTAAATCCCCAGCGCCATGATAATGGCTTGAATCCAATGGAATTCTTCCCTTTATTTCAGAACACAAAGAATTTATATGCAAGCTATGGCTCCGGGAGGACAGCAGTACCTGTTTAGACTTGTGCTTTTTTGCACATCGAGGGGACACAAAACACTCTGGGTTCATGTCCATGCTTTGGAGACTGGAAGCCACTTCTGAGGACGAGTTCCGGTTTTTCATCCTCAGAAATGAAAGGATGTTGAGGACCTCGGGCTGGTAGGAGCTGTCTGCCATGGTTTTGCCCTTTGACGCCAAGATGCAGGCAGCCATCCACCGGGCATACTGATTCTCCTGCAACGAACACAGAGGCTGAGAAGTGGAAATTTGAGCTCAGAGCTACCTGGTCTGAAACATGGTGGGGCTGGGGCTCCAAAGCACAAGGTCACCTTGCAGGGAAGGAGCAGCGCGAGTGGCACACGGTCCTGGCGGTCGCTAACTGCAGTGCTTTTGAGGGCTGTGCTGTGTTTGTAAGTGCTACGGGGCTAGAGGACAGGAAAGCAGCTCTGATCCATCCTGTACAGGAAACTGCATTCAGGATGATCAAGGATGCAGAGGAACTCAGGTGAATCGCAAACTACCAGAGAGCCTTCCTATAACACGTTTCTATTTTCATATCTTGCCTGATCTGTACAACAAAACAGTAAAGAAAATCCTCAATTGATCTCCTGCATTATTTGTACCCCGGTTTATCCTTAACACTGGGGATTGAACACAGGATTTTCTCATTGAGATACAACACCAGCCCTTTTTCATTTTGAGACAAGGCTCCATTAAGTCATTGGAACTTGTGATCGTCCTGCCTCAGCCTCCCAGAATCCTGGGGTTACAGGCATTCATCAGTACATCTAGCTGACTACTTGTTTCTGACTTTAGAGAGAGAACAGGCACGGTGGCCAGCAGCTGAGATACACTGCTGAAGAGGAATTTCTCAGGGTAGCAGGTGGTGACACACTGAATTCCTGGCATCGATCTTTAGAGTCCTGGTAGTCATACCATCTCATGTAATTTTACAGCCTGTCCTCCCTGAGACAGAGTATAATTTCCTTCCCTTCATTTCCACCCACACTCATGATTGACTTTGGCCAGTGGTGTGTGGGTGAAGTCCAAGCCTAAGCTTCAGGAGACCACACCTGGGACCCAATGTCTTCTCGTACTTCTATCACTATGTCAAGAGTTTCCTGCAGGCAGTCTGGTGCCAGAAGAAGGAAAATCAGCTCCACCTGTGGCAAGGAAGTGAGGCCTGTGGCTCAAAGCAGATCTGACCAACTAACACCAGTGTGGAACATCAGACCCCCAGGCAACCTGCAGATCTTTCAGAAAGGAATTGTTGAATGTTGATTTTATCACACTGTTACTGTTTGTTACACAGCAATAGCTGACTAACACAACAGTGTTCTCATTTGAGAAAATGCTATACAGATGGTCCTGGTTTACCATGGTTTGACTTATGATTTTTTAAACTTTACTATGGTATAGCAGCATACCATATACAACCATTCTGTTTGTCACTTTCAGTACAGTGTTCAATCAACTATACAAGATCTTTAATGCTTTATTATAAAATAGGCTCTTTGTTAGAGGATTTTGCCCCATTCTAGGTTAATATAAATGTTCTGAGGATGGTTAAAGCAGGTTAAGCAGGGGTGTTTGAAGGTTAGCTGTATTCAACACATTTTTTACTTAACAGTATTTTCAACTTTGAATGGGTTTGTTCTTAGTCAGGCTTGGTGGCACATGCCTGCAATCCCAGCACTTGGGAGGCTGAGGCAGGAGGATCACTGTGAGTTCAAGGCCAGCCTGGACTACATAGCAAGACCCGGTCTCAAAAAACAAACAAGCAAACAACAACAAAAAGAATGGGTTTATTCTTGCTCTTAAGCTTAACAGAGGTGAAGTGACCGAAGGTCTTTATACTTTACTTACATGATCACACCTCAAGTATACTTCATTCATGCCATCAGCGATAGGGATCAGTAACTTGATTCCGAACTTCCTCCCCGCTACATTCACATCTGGGACGACTTCACAGCCTGAAGGACAGAAGGCAAAGTGGTTCTGAGGAATGTGATCTGTAAACGCCCAGGATACATCTAACACATAGACTTTAACAAAGATAGAAGCCCCTCAAATCTGGTTCTTTCCTGAAGAATGGAGGAAGAAGAATAACATGAAAGGAAGACTACGTAAGACTCAGGGACAATCACCGTGGGTGGTACTGGCTATCCCAGTTTTCCGGGAGAATCCTGGATGAGAACTTTGAAAGCGATCAGAACAGAGGCTGGCCTCCGATGGCCGCGGCAGGGACTCGAGTACACTGCCTGGATGTTTCAGCTGACGGAAGCGCCCGTTTGGTGCACACACAGTGGCTTTCAGAAATCAGAATAGGCACTAACAAGATAGTGCATTGAATACCAGTGTTCTTGGCCCTTTCTTCTTTTCAGGGTACTGGGGATCAAACCTCACATACAGGAAGGCCTCACTCCAAAACTGAGTCACACCCCAGCCCAGACACAGCTCTCCCGAATTCAGGAAGCTCAAGGCTCTACAGTGCTGTGTGCTGCACCCACGGACACAAAACACCCCGTCTTCCTAGACCCCAGACATACAGGGGGGGGAAAGGAAAGCAGCGTAAGTACAATGCGTTTGCTATTCCACGTCTGAGGCCCGCTCCCCACGGGGAGGAGGAGCTGCCACTGAAAGTGGGGTTTGCAGGCTCCTCTGAGGCAGCCCCACCTATTGCGGCAGGCCACTGGCCTCAGGCTGCCCACGGAGTCGTGCAAAGCCCGGGGAAAAGACAGCAGGGTGATCTTACCTTTGAGGTTGAGTTTTTCTACTGGCTCTCCTTGTTCAAGTTCCTTATTTTTAAAGTAGGCTATGGATGTGTCCTTAAAGACGAACCAATATTGTTTGAAAGCTTTTAATATCAGCTTCTTAGGCCTGCAAATTAAAGGATGGTAAGTATTCATTCACACCACCGCCCAGAATGGCAGAGCACAGTGCAAATTCCGAGCACTTCAAGGTGCTTCGGGGCCCTGTGGACAACATATTCTAGTTTTGAAGACCATTTGCAAGTTGCTAAATCACATCTTAGGCCTCTGGCTGCTGAGCCTGAGCTCTACCATGGAGCTGCACCCCAACCCACTAGCTCACGTCCAAAAGCCAGGCTCACTGGTACCAGGTGTGTACCAACTGCTGCTGCTCAAGGCAGAAATTAACACAGGCTCCTGGTGCACACACTGGTGCCGCCACTCTGCCGCCTGGACCTTGTGGCCACCTCTCCGTAAAGAGGACAGCAGCATTCTCGAGCTCAAATACAGCTTTTGAGAGGACAGAAGGGGGTCACGTGTGTGGAGTGCTTATCACAGTGCCTGGTACAGCCGAAGTGCCTGATAACTTCCTTTGATTGGTCTGGGAGACCTGCGGAACTCTGGCAACATCTGAAACCTTGCGTACTTCCTGGGCCTGACAGGAAGCTGCTGATGCAAACAGCACAGATCAAGTTTCAAGGTAACAAATAGGAAAACTCTTTTCTGCAGTTTCCACTGAATCCTTAGGAGAAATCGCCACAGAATTCCTATGGAGCCATGGAAGCCTTCAAAATCCAGAGCTAAGGCCTAGTGACGCAATTGTTATTAAAACAGATTTGGGAAAGCGACCCAACAGCGGTGACGATAGGGCCAGAGACCGTGCTCTGAGGTAGACACAGCTGGGGTGCCTATAGCAGGTCTCAAGCTTGCATCATTCAGAACAAGAAGTGTGAGCAAGAGGTTAGGAGAAAGGATACAGACAGGGAGAGAAAAGAACAGATGAGCTAGCTAGGCACTCAGGAGGCTGAGGCAGGAGGATTGCCTTGAGTCTGAAGCCAGTGAGTTCAAGTCCAGCCAGAACTGTATAACAAGACCCTGTCTCAAAAACCAAAACAAACCAACAAACAAATAAACAGAGATGGCTCAGGGCATCAACCTGGGGAGGGGGCTTCTGCTCCCAGGAACACGAGGGGAGTGACTGCCTGGCTAATGTGCTCACGTGGAACTCTGGGTGCATCTTGTGAGGTCAGCACTACTGTGTCCTTAGCTTAAAATGTGTTACCGTTAGCACAAAGGTGAGGGAGAAGACGCTTATATCAAAAAACGAATACTCAGGGGCTGGGGATTTAGCTCAGTGGCACAACACCTGCCTGCCAAGTGCAAGGTCGTGAGTTCGACTCCTGGTACCGGAAGAAAAGCAAAAAACAAAACAAAAAATGAATACCCAAGCTGTTTCAGGACTATATCACATGAAAATTATGAAAGAACATCATAGGGAGTTAACATTTCCAAGATTAAGAAAAACTACTGTGCACTTATTCTGAGAGCTGTAAGTTAACATAATTCAACAGACAATATTTAAAAGTTTGTCTAAGGGGCTGGGGATTTAGCTCAGCGGCAAAAGCGCCTGCCTGGCAAGCGCAAGGTCGTGAGTTCGGTTCC